CACTTGGAACAGAACACTTTTTTTCTTTAAACTGATGACTGTTTATCCACATTTTCATTAGCACATATTAATGACACAAGGCAAGGTGTTTTGTTGTGATATTTCTGTACATATGCGTAATGCTCTTTGGTCAGAGTCACGACTTCTAAGTCCAGCTGCATCTCCAGTTTCTGGGATGCGTGAGGGATGTGTCTGCATCTGAGCTCCTCATGGGAGCCACTTGCTGATTTCAGGCCACTTGATTTTCAGGATGAGAAGGAAGGTTGTCATGACCTGACACTTCCTGTAACTCTGCTGACTGCTGGGTTTTGGTTGTGTTCACAGTGTGGCATCTGGGCTGTTCCTTCTTATCTATATGCTGATATTTCTCATGCTCCCTAGCTTTTTCACCACCTTACCACAGAGGAAAAGGGATCATCACCCTGGGGAGATAGAGGGGCTGTAGAGTCTCCATATTTCTCAAGGGAGGAGGGACAGGCCTAGGAGCTCCAAGCCCTTCGGCCCTCGCCTTTATCTGTGCTTCAGGTTGGGAAGCTGCCATTAGTTGTGCCCACCTAGTAATAACTTTACAATCTAACCACACAGTGCCAGGATTTGACAGCACTTCACCATTACTTTCAGTAGAGCAAAATAGTTAGAGATAAACAAGAACCAACTTAGAAATGAGAGGGTGAAACACTGCTGATTAAATATAAATGATGGAATGGCTGAATGCACACAACCTGGTGTCCAAGGGGGTTTGCAATCAGTGGTCAGCCTCCACACTCTGGCTATTGAAATGGGAAGAATCTCAAACAAAGGCTGTGTCCTGATTGGTGGTCACAGCACCTAACAGGATGGTCTGCTCTGGAGCATAAGCACCTGGCAGACTGGCCAGCAGGAAGTTGATCAGGTGGGAGAGTAGGAGGCAGGGGTTGTGGCTTGGGGAGAGATGACAGGAAAAAATAGGACCACGGTGTGCTGTACCAGGGAGACACTGGAATTCTAATCATGGCAGCAGACCAAGGCATTTAGTGAGGGTGCCCAGAGGCCACGAGGTTGATGAGACTCCATTCAGGGTACTTAACACGGGTGTCAGCTGCTGCTTATGCTGTTGTTGCTTCTGCTATTGAAACACTTGAAATCTGATCAGGATGGGTTCTGGGACATAATCAACTGAAGCAGCACTGGGCATTGGGAGGCCCTGCTATAGAAGGAAGGAAGGAGGGAGGAAGGGAGGGAGACCAGCGTGCCTGCTGGTCCTGAGGCTTGAACCAAGGACCTGGGCAATGTCTGTCCTTTAAGTTTTTTTACTTACAGCTTGCTCTCTGTCACTTGAGCCACAGCTCCACTTCTAGCCTTTTAGTGACTAATTGCAGATAAGAGTCTCGCAGATGTTCCTGCCTAGGCTGGCTTTGAACTATAATCCCCAGACCTCAGCCTCCTGAATAGCTGTGATTAAATTCATAAGCCACTGGTGCCTGGCTAAACCTGATTCTTAAATATTCCCCAAACCAAAGAACTGCCATTCTTATTTGTAGTCATTACCATGTTATTGTCATATTGGCATGGTAAAGAGTTCATGCTTTTCATTGTTTTCTCCCATTCAGAGCTAAGAAGAGGAGTAGGAATTGTAATTTCTTTGAAATGTATGTCTGCAACTATGTCACAGCCTTTTCTTTAACATATTTTCTTCATCTGCTTGGCTATTAATGAGTTTTGTAAAAAATATTTGGTTGACCCACATGAAACTCCTGATACTCAGCTGTTTAGGAAGTACCAGTTCCTAAGGGTCAGCCTAATAGGCCTTGCTGTCTCTACCTACTTTTCCTGCAAACACAGCTTCTTTCTGAATACAGGAAGAATGTGGGAAGGCCAGAAGAGCCAAGGGCCCACAGAGGATCTGTGCTGCAAGCTCCTCTCAGCTGCAGGGCTTGCCTGTCTGATCTCTGTCAGGGATAACCTGGAACTTGAGCAGATTTCCTCCTTACCCATCAGAAACTGACATTTTATTGTGGCCAACACAACTTGAAGTCATAGAGATTTCAACTTAGGTCAGCAGTTTTCTAAAAGAGCTATGTCTTTGGGAATGACAGTTTCCCAGTTATTTGACTAAATTCAAATATTCCAAAATAAGTTTCAAATGTTTTTTTAAAATCATATTTAGGACTTAGACTTTTTTCCCTATGTGAGTAGATTTTTGCAGAATTGTACATGCTCTTAAGCATACAGAGAGAGAGTGAGAGAGAGAGAGGGGGAGGGAGGAAGAGAGGGAGGGAGGAAATTAGGGAGGAAGAGAGAGAAGGAGAGAGAAAGATCGGAGTGGTGCTGTCTCTTTTACCCATTTCTCTGCAGAGAAGGAAGGGAAGAACAGCATGACACTAAGAAAATCTGCTTTTGGCATTCTGAGAACCTGAATACCGCAAACAATTATACAGAAGATTTCTCCTCCCCACTTCCTTTGGACCATTTGTCACTAACTTCTTTCAGATTGGCCACCAGCATCTTCCTCTTCAACTTATGGTTTTGTCATTTAATATATTCTTTAGAACCTTACATGTGATCCTACTTTGCATAATCTGGAGTTGTGTCCTCATGTGCCTCACAGACAGGAACTACTTTATACTACTGGTGCTGAACTGAGCAAGAGGGTTCATGCAATCTATTTCCAAATGCTGAATAAGTAAATCTTAGGTAGAGGCAGCACTTACGCAGGTTCCATTCACAGAGGTGTGATGAGAGAAAATTAGGAAGAACACTCACCACCATAATGATCATTAGAAAGCCACAAATAGGGAGTATGCATTGGATGTACAGCAGAGCTTTGAGGTACAAAATCTCAGTGAATCCACAGAATCTTGATGGAAACATAGTCTCTTAGCATAATGCCTTGCAGCCTCCTCTGCAATCTTAAATTTCCTACAGTGTAACTAAACAGACCTCTTCTGCTCTTCTGCAAAAGCAAAGGGTCCAAATCTCCTGGACCACTCACAAGCTGATAAGCTCCAACCCTGTCCCATCCTCAGCCAACCCAGTCCTGGCAGACCCTGTTAAACTAGCTTGTGAATTCTTTGCACAAGAAGGATTACCATAGCTTCTTTTGTGCTCCGTGTTTTGATGGTGCTAAAACCCCTTTTCCCTCTTCTGTCTACCTGATTGATGTTACTGATTAAGCAATTTGGGGAATTCCCTAGAAATTGCCAGAAGGCCCTGGGGAAGTTGCTTATTCAGTGTGATCCTGTTTCCTTACCTATAAACTGTGCACCTGTATAACATCTTGAGTATTTGTCTGTAAGTATTACAAATAATATAAAAAGCACTTTGCATTGTGATGGACAAATAGTATATATTTTGTTTTTTATTACAAAATTATTACAAAATCATTCACTGCTATCACCTTTACAATAACAATAAAATGCATTAAAATAATTAAATTGCAGTTATTAGTATGTATGTTTTTACCTCTTCCCTGGGTTTATCTTCTCTAGCATGGTGCATGTGCTCTGTTAATGGACTATCAAATCACTAACTACATAGACTAGCAGCAGTTATCCTCACGCAGAACATGCATACAGAGCGTTCTCCAATCCACAGCGGTGTGCCACGCTGTGGTGATGCTGGTATTGGCCCATCTTACCACATCAGGCAAGGCTGATGTCATCCAGATTCCAGAACTCTTGTCCAGATGTATCATCACCTTTAAGTCCAGGCCCCACCTGGAAAACTCCGTACCTTAAATTAAAGTTTTATTTGGTTCCTGACTTTATCACCACCTTTAAACAACAAGAGAAAACTCTCATAGAGTCATAAGCAGTTACTTTCATATAGTCATAAGCAATTACTTGGATACTATGTATCTGTAAGCTTACAGTAAATAGGAACTGAGTTTCTATAAAAAGCAACCAACTATTTCAACGCTGATGGCTTTCACCATGCGTTTGTCTAGCTGTGGAATGTCAGCCACCATTGTGTGTGTGTGTGTGTGTGTGTGTGGCTTCTCACAACAGCTCTTCTGAAACACGATCTGCTTTTTCACTCCACCTGGGAGGAACTCTGAAGCCTGGACAGGACACAGCTTCCCCCGAGTAATGTCTAGGCAACCTGTCATGCCTGTGATTTTCATGCCACTAGCTGCCTTGTACCTGGCAGCAGTGGGAACTGAGACCTTTTTGGAGACAGGGACAAGGGCACAGAGGCATACTGGGGACAGTAGGTGTAGCTGAGTCACATGTCCACTCAGATCACTGTACCTATGGGCTGGTTCCAGCAGCACCCAGGCTTCAGGGATCTATTGGTCGTAGTAGGGGCAAGAAAATAGCCAGGAGAAGTGGGCTCACTGACCTGCAAAGCACCCCAGTATAACCTAACATAACCTCCTTAGGAAGTTACAGGGTGATTATGTAGAAATGCAGATGGTGTTTCTGCAAACTTAATAGTAGGCAGTGAGAGCATGATGTTCTTGGATTCTGGTGAATGGTCTTAGCCAAGGAGTCAAACAAGGCTAATCTCACTGCTCTGGGAAACCGTGGGGCAACTGGATGCCACTATTAGGTTTCTGGATGCTGTTCTCTGGTGAATCTGCCTGTGCTATTTCAGCTGCCTCGGTCTAGGGTCTGCAACATGAGATGTTCTCAAAAGGCAGTATGAGAGCTGAGCACTAGTGGGCTCATGCTTGTAAGCATAGCTGTGAAGGAGATCTGAGGATTGTGGTTCAAAGCCAACTTCATCAAGAAAGTTCATAAAACTCTTATTTCCAGCAAAATGCTAGAAATAGAGGTATGGTAGAGCACAAGCTTGAGCATGAGTCCTTGGGTTCAAGCTCCAGTTCCAGCATTATCACCCCCCCCCAAAAAAAAGAAAAAAAAAGGCAGTATGAAAAGAAATTACTATTGAGTGTGTTCAGGGAGAGAAGAATGTCGAATTTCCTTTTAAATATTAAATGCAAGTCTATTCCAATGACAATGGAGATCTGATGGATCACTCAAGAATGACAGCTGTGCTTTCATTTTTATACAAAACAGTGCTTTTGGCTGCCCTTATTCGGACATGAACTTGAAGAAGGAGGTCACAAGTCCTGGTGGTCTGAAAGAGCAAACACAAGCGCCTCTGGAGTCAGATGCTTCCCGCTCAACACTGAAAAATCTTTCTGGTCTGAATTTCAATGGGAAACATGCAAAGGTGAACAGTCAGCCCCGGTAAGAAACTTTTCGGTAAAATACAAACCAAGAAGTAAACCATGTAGACTAATAAAGGGACAATTGTGTTGTTTGTTCTTGACTTATGGTCAAAACAGTTCTTATTTCTGGACATTGGTTATATTCAGTAGCTCACAGAAGTTACCGAGGCCTGATGTACATCTTAAAATATTTTCTGTTAGATCATATACAGATATAACTTCTTGCAAGTATATAAGTAATCAGTAAAAAGTATATCTCATCTGTACGATCTAGAAGATTCCCTTTCATTGTACAAACGCCTTTGTTCTTTGGATTCCTTTCACAAGCGTTCTGTCTTTGGCCATGGTTGAGTGCATCTGCTGAGTCACAGCAGGATTTTCCTCTCCTGTTTGTTCCTGGCCTTTGTCTCCTTAAATCCGGACAGACCTGAGATATGATTTCTTTCTCTGAGTAGTTAGCATTTTGACTCTTTGATAACACAATGCTCTTTTATTTCTCAACATAAACTTATAGAATCACTTCACAATTTTTATTAACCTACAGTTATTTCCGAAATAAGTGTATGGAGCATGCACAAACTTACTAGATGACTTTTAGCCTTAGTAAGCAAACAGATAATATCTATTCTCTGAAGTGCTCTTCACTCCATGTTAGGAAGTATAAACACAAGGAAAATTCAACAAAAGGGACCAGGTAAGGACTGAGCTGAAAATGGCTACACAGACATGTTCCAGACCCACTGTATGTGGAAGGAGTCACATCCAAAGCCTTGAGGACCCCCGACCCCGCTTTGCCTGTTTGAGTGTTGGGTATGGGGTAGGGGCGCTGTTCTTTCCCCTAAGCCTCAGAGCCTGGCTCTTTCCATTGACAAGTGGGTGTGAATTTTCCCCAGGACAGAACAGCCCTCTGTATGTTCACACTCAGCCCCAGCAGAACAGACTCCTTTCCCCCAGAGGGGGGAGCCTGATCATTTGGCTGCTAAGGTACACGTTCTACATGGCTTTTCTATCCTGACTACGGATTTTCTTTTCTTTTCTCTTTTTTCCATGAGAATGTCTTAGAAGATTTGGGTGATATTTTATTTTTGTTAAGTAGCTTTTTGGATTTTGATGGCTCTGTGCACAATTGTAAGCTAGCCTACTCCCTGGCACAAGATCTGTTTTGTATAGGCACACATGCCTCTATTTTTGTAATTGTATCTTGCATTTTTATTATTTGTTGCACACCCACTGCTCCTGTGGAAACTTCACAGGGTCTAGTTGTTCTTTGCTGCCTGTTCCCGCCCACACTGTTTACAATTCAAGGAGTTTACAGCTTGTACATCTTTTCCATTTCCTCCTTGAAGGAGATTTGTTTGTTCTTTCTTTGGATTTAACTGTTTCCCAAAGACGAAGGCTTATTTATTCCAGAATCGTGGAGTCCAGACCATCCATTTTCCTTCTTTCTTTTCACTACATTCTGTTGTATTTTCCCCCAATACAAACCCAGTCACTCTCTCTTATAAATATTTTAGGCATTCATCCTCAATGTCAAAAGCTACAGAGTCTAAGCAGATCTTTGAACTGCTTTAAAAAATTATTACAGTCATGTTTTCTCAGAGGTTAACTAAGTTATTCTCTCCAGCCAACACTGATATCTTGTCCTCATCTTAAAGGTCTCTTTGGAATTTTCCTTTTGAAATATATTATCTTTTTTTTTTTTACTGTTTTTAAAGGGCTCTACACTGAAATAAATATCAAGTAGATATACTACAGATAGAAAGAAAGTAGAGAATGTTAATTCATAATCAAGCAGAAATTCACAGATGATCCAATTCTGCCAAATCCTAATTATGCCCTTATAGAATTTTGTGAGTAGCTAGAAGAGATAGTGTCACACAGTATACTCCTGAATCCTTCTTTTGCTGTCATATCTTTATCCCAAAGCTACTTTTTCTTGTTAATATGATGATGTCTGGATACAAAATATGAGCACACACAGTTGTATGCTCTTCTAATCCACCTGCACCTTTTTGGCATTCTGTAGGTGATTTTAAATTCCAGGCTGAGGAAGAAAGAACAAGAAAACCAACAAGAGGTGATCAGCTGCCCATGATCTGCCAGCTCTCCTCAGTTTCCTTCAGTGCTTCCCTGAGCTATCTTCTTTGTAACCAGAATCTTTTTTGCTCTTGAAATCACATGATAGTAATACAGGTAGAGGAACCTTTAAGTTCCGTTTCTTTTCTTCTACCTACTGAAGAGAAGTAATTGTTTCTTTGGCTTCTTCCCAAGGACAGGGTTGGAGTTTACACTGGGTGAAAGTTAGAGCTGAGGTTTCTACTGGCTCCCAAGTGGTATGCTCCTCAAGTGTTCTTTCCAGACCTTTGATAACATCTTAGAGACACTTGTCACTTCAGAGTCTCCAGACATCCAACAATTTAAGTAATTTTTTTTCTAAAAACAATTACTTGTATGGTAGTTAGGAGAATTTTATCTTTCCTTTAACTGTATTTTAGTTGTGTGATTACTTAAAAAAATCTATTTGTATTAATCTTTATATGAGGTTATTACAGGATTATATGTACATTTATGACTCATGCAGAATTTAGTAGCAGAAATAGTCTATTTATATTCATGGACTCTTTTTTGGCAGTGTTGGCAGTTGAACTTAGGACCTTACGCTTGCTAGGCAAGTGCTCAACCACTTGAGGCATGTTCTAGTCCCTTTGGCTTTTAGTTTGTTTTCCAGAGAGCATCTGATGCTTTAGTCTAATCAGCTTTGGAACTTTTGTCCAGCTGGCCTTGAACCATGATCCTCCTACCCCCAAGTCCTGAGTAACTGGGATCATAGACATGAATTACCATGTCTGGCACTATGTTTACTTTTTTAAAAAAATAGTCATATTTTAAATTTACACATACTATATACTTCTAGATGTTCACAAGATTTATAGTCAGAACTGTCAAGTATTCATGTTAGGTTGATTTTCAGTAGTCAGGTGCAATAGCTTACAGTATAGCATATGTATAGCTTATGTAACATATATATGTGGACACATATATATGCGTATTCTTTTTCAGCTTATATGTACTGATAGAGTAAATCATACATTATCCATGGTTCATTAAGTAGAGGTGAGTGGCCTTATTCTTGAAGTCTTCAGTTTATGTCCATACTCCACAGGAAAATTTGTTTTAGGGTTTATAGTTTACATATACAGTATCTTCAGAGTTTCTTACAGTCTTATGATTTAGGGAAAATATCTTACCTTGTTATCCATGGCAAGAGTGCCAAATTTAGAAAGTAGAGACCTATGTTCTGCTAATTTAAAGTTCAGATATAGGTCTTGTGGTTATCTCTAGTGTATTTCTGCACAAAAATCATAACACCAGGATGAACAATAATGATATCATACAGTTCCATTGGTCTAAACTATTACAATAGCCTGCATGTGATAGTTATTTTCATCCTAATTTTATAAGACAGGTACATGGAGGTTCAGAAAGGATTCAAACACAGAACTGCCTGATTTCAAATTCCATGCACATTTTGAGTATATTAAACTAGCAGAAAAACTCTGTGTTAAAATCTTGAAAGAGGCTGCTAGGTTTATATTTAGACACTTGCTATTAATGTATAGGAGTCTTTGGATCATCTTCTTATGACTGTATTTCTTTGTTAATTTTGTGAAAATAGAACTGACCACACTGCATTCCTGTTTATTCCTATTTATGTTACATATAATAATTCAAAATGTTTCACCTTGAACACATTTCCTTGTAAAACACTGAAAGGCTTGTGTCTGTAATAAGAGAATAAATCCAGAGTCATTGAAACATTGTCATCATAAACAAAATGGCTTTGGAATATGAGTGTTCCTTCACCCTGAGGGGGTCATATACTCTTGACTCCCCCACCTACCTGGGTGTTCTCTAAAAATGTCTACCTCCCAAAGCAGTGTGCACTTTAATATTAAAATTCAAACAACTGATAGTGCACAATCCCCTGGAATGCCAGTCAGTGCTATTAAGGTAACATAAGAAAATGGCTAATAAAGCTCACTTTGTTTTCCCCAGTGCCTTCCATCTTATGAGTTTTGTGCATTTTTCTAAGGCTGGTTTTGGTAATGGAAATGGCTGGGGGGAATTATAGTAATCAGAGGGGACAGCACACAGTGGAATCAGTCCTTAATAATCCTGATAATAAATTACACTGTCATGAGCCAAATCCTTTATTATTTCCTCCTGCCCAATCAGCAGCAGCATAGAAAACCTTTTACTAGGGCCATTCTCAGGATTCCAGCAGTGCTAGTTGTTTCTTCCCCCTGTGAACCTTCCAAGTCAGTAAAAAGGGATGCTCTGATCCATTGGGCGCCCCTTGCTTCCTCTGCTTGGTATGGTCAAGTCTGCTCAGTGACCCATTGTCCCTATCACTGTTGCCCTCAGCATTGCCTCTGTTCCCATCCTGGGCACATTTTTGTTCCTTCTTACAGCTTCTCCCTTCTCACGTCTCACCTTTATCTGGAAGGGTTTTTATGGTTTGTTTGGTTTGGTTTTTTCTTTTTGTTTTTGTGCTCGTCCTGAGGATTGACTCAGGGCCGGCTTTTGCTCATGGGTACCACCCTATCACTTTAGCCACAGTTCCACTTCCAAGTTTTCTGGTAGTTAATTGCCCAGGCTAGCTTGGAACCTTGATCCTCAGATCTCAGCCTCCTGAGTAGCTAGGATTACAGGTGTGCACTACTGGCACCTGACTTATGTGGAAGTTTTTAAAACATTTCCGACTTTTAAGAGCTTCTGGAAATGAGAGTTTGTATTCTGATGTCTCCATGTTTCTTACACATAGTAGGTATTGAGAAAGTAGATGGATTTTGAGCAACCACTGTGGCCAGATCCTGGGATACAGACTTTAGAAGAAGCCAGCTTTACCTCTACCCTCAGTACTCCTCTGACCTTTGGGTCTGAACCACACAGGACAGCTTATTTTTGTGTCTTCATGTATTATTTTTAGTACTTTTTGTATAAGTGCCTCATTTTCTTAAAAATGCCAAAGGGATGAACCAGTGTTTTCTTTTTTAAGTTTGTGTTGTTGTTTTTTTCCATTACTGTTGATACTGCAAATTCTTAGTATGTTTGAGTTTGTTCAGTCAGTTATAAATGATTTTCCTCCTTTGCCTATACATGATGTACAGGATGTATTGGATATACGTGTGAGCTCTCATGTTAGATTTTTTATTTTAGGCATATAGATATGAATATAGGCCTGACAATACTAGAGCCTAGTGAAATAATAGTTCCAGATCCTTTTACTGAGTTGACTTTAAAAATGTTGATTTAAAAGTCTTGTTTTCTAACAAGTTCTAGCTGGGTATATACTACTCATCTTGACATCTAGCATAAGAATCCAGACCTTTATTTATTTAGTCTGAGGTAGCAATCAGCCTGTAGAAAGAAAGCATGATCCAAGCATGACTAGGGCACCCAGGATCCTTCTGAAAGAAGATCCTTCTTCTGGAGGTTGTACCTAGATAGCACAACCCTTTGGACACTCAGAGACCCCTTTCTCTCCTCCCCTTCAGCTGGACAGCAAGAAGCCTCTAACCAGATGGAATAATCTGGGAACTTTCCAGTGTTAAAATCACTCAGTGTAGAAAGGAGTCCAAAGACGAAGAGTTGAGTTCTCTCATTGACCCTGTTGGTGGTTGTAACTTGAAGCTCTCTCTGCCTCTCTGCCATAGTGATTTCCTGCTTTGTGATTTCATACCACTACTAGCCAGTGTTTGAAGCTCAGAACACGATTGACTTTTGTCATTTGGATATCTAATAACACTTACCTCTCTGAATTTCAGCATCATTACTGTTGCCAGATCCTAAAATTAGAGGTATCCATTCATCCCTTTCAACCTTCATCTGTTAGATAAATATTTAGAATGGTACCATTCCAAACTCTGGTAAAACAGCAGTGAGCAATCATGCAGAAATCCTTAGTCAGTCTGTTCTGTTTTTAGTAATAAGAAAACTACCCTAACACAGGTAGGTGGCTTCAGTCCCCATGGACTTGTCAGTAGGGCATGTTGTCATTCAGCAAGTGTACCCAGAGACTCTGACGGGGTCACAGTGATAGAAAACAGTGTGCAAGATGCTAGACATATGGAAATAAGCCAATGGGATGGATGCAGGAAGAAAGGAAATAACACACCAAAGAAGAGAATGTCCACAGGTTGTAGTAAGTGCCATGACAAAGTCACACAGGGTGTTATAATGACAGCAGTTACTTGTCAGAGTCCTCAAAACAGAAAGTAGGCCCAAGCCATTCAGGAAAGGAGAAAAAGGTTCGGCTGAATGTTTTGCGGATTAAAATGAAATCAGTAGTGTCACAATCAGCTCAGGAACTTAGAAACTGCAATACCACCCAAGGCCCTACCTAACTTCTTTTGGTCCCTCTGCTATGTCCGTCAGCCCCTTCATTGTAGCTCTGGCTTCTTAAACAAACGCACAGTTCTGGTGAAATGATAGGAAATAACCAAGCTATGCCTTGGTAGGGTCTTGAAAAATACATTTTTTTTTCTGAGCTGATCCTCATAAGACAGTACATAATTTATTGTGAATCTCTGGATTTCTGGAATCCTGCCTTGGCCCAGGCTCTTAGTAATTAAATTCTGTAGAACATTGTGTCCTAAATCTGCATGGTTCCTCTCACATAAAGGAAATATTAGTGTTCCTGCACCCAGAAAAAAAAAGGAAAAAAAGGAAAAATCTCTGCTTCCTGAGCACTAGCAGAATTTTTTTTATATTTCTCATCTTCATTATCTGGCTCTAAAATAAGTATTTTCCATTCACTAAAATAGTAAAGTTGGGGCATCTAACATGATTTTGTGCTCATTACTAAAGTGGTACCTGTTTATTAGAAAGAAAACAGGAAATGGAAATGAGTAAAAATTAAAAACATTAATAATAACCAGGTCTTTTTCAATCAAACAGCATAACTTAAGAGACTTATGTCCATTGTAATAATTTAAGAAATATAGAGGATTTAAAAATTAAGAATTTCTAGCTGGGTGCTAGTGGCTCACATCTATAATCTTAGCTACTCTGGAGGCTGAGATCTGAGGATTGTGGTTCAAAGCCAGCCGGAGCAGGAAAGTCCTTGAGACTCTTATCTCTAATTAACCACCAGAAAATCAGAAGTGGCACTGTGGCTCAAGTGGTAGAGCGCTGGCCTTGAGCTGAAGATCATAGGCACTCAGACCCAGAGTTCAAGCCCCATGACCAACCCCTCCCCCTCCCCCATGGCTCAGCTTGGAGGATTTAAATTGAGGTTGCTGGTGTTAACACTGTCACCCACACTATTATACCTCTTTATTTTCATGTCTACATTTGCATATGAGTGTGTACCTGCATACTTCCACCTTTAAAAGTATTGACATGAGTACTCATTACCTTACTCATGAAACTTAGCATCTTTACAATAAAATAAATTTTTTAAAAAGTATTCATATGATTTTTTGTTAATCTTCAACACATTTTCTTTTATTTAAGGATATTCATGACTGTATTACCGTGTCAGCAGAAAGGGAACTAATGCATTATTTTTGACAAGTGTATTTATTGTATTCCATACCTTAACTCATTAGCCCTGTTTCTCCTATTGACAAGTATTTTCCGGTATTTTTTTTTCTTGTAGAAAATGCCTCATTGAGCATTTTCACATGGATACCTTTATTTGAAGATGCATTATACTGTCACATTTCTAAAGGCTTAATTACTACTTGTTTACAAACTACAATTAGATGATTCCTGAAAATGATTGACTCCTACGGATTCTTGGTCATTTGGCTGTTAAATGGATGAATTTGCTTATCCAGATATACATACATGGAAACAGAGGAAGAAAGTTATTGTAGTTGAAATTATCTGTGTCCAGTTCCACATGTCTCTGTTCCCCCACCACTTAACTCTTACTCCCTTCATCCCCCCCCAACATATCTACCCCACTGAGGTTCCTCTGTTCTGAGGCGCATCTCAAACCATCACCTGAAAGCGTTGCTGAGTGTCTCTCACCCATGAGAAAAATCCCCTCTTGCTTTATATCCTGTAGTTCCTTCTAAAAATTGCCTATTTGATGAAGCTATTTTTTTTCAGTCTGCTGTGTGTAAAAGCCAGCAGGACAAGGCTCTCCCATGAAAGAATGCAACCTACAGTCAGGAAACCCTTAACGATGTTGATTGGTTAGACTTGGAGAATTCACCTAAGGACAAAGAGAGTAAGGGCCTGATGCCTGCCTTACAAGTCTTATTATATGTTCTAAATCTATGAGGTTGCTTGGGCAATTTGGAAGGAAAAGCAGCAGTAAAACTAATCACATGTGATGCATTGGTTTAAACTTTATAAACTTCTTGTTCTTTGTCTAGAACAGGGGTCAACAAACTCTGAGTCACACAGTAAATATTTTAAGTTTGGCCAGCCCCAGAATCTCTGTTCTTTATTATCATTTTCCCATATTCTTTGTAAAATGGCTAATCTGTGAGACCTAGTACAGGAGCTGTGTGTCTCTGGTACTCCATGCTGACCTGATGCTCACTACCTAAGTATAAGCCAGATCTATCATTTATATTCTCTTTTATAAGAATATAATGAAGTCCTTATGATATATATACATAGAGAATACACTGAAAATGATGTTATTGAATTAATGAAAAATATTCTACAGATTTGAATACATAGGGAGTTCTTTTACACCATTATTAAAATGTATTATTTCACTAATTATTCAGAACCATACAAAGCAGTTGCTACTGCTAAACACTCTGTGTTTAAACATCTACTGTGGGTCGCAGTCCTAGAAGCTGGATCCTAGACATCAATGCAAACATCTCTGCATACCATAATTATTTACCAGTCTGGGGAGGGGGTGCTCCAATGCAACCAGGCAGAACGAACACAGGTCCATTCCAAAGGTGGAATTTCTAAAGAGATGCTTTCTTTTCATAGAGTCTTAATAATTAAGAGATAGAATATTGATAGATATGTAACTTACACCTAACTATCCCAGAATATATTTCTGCAATGATATATGTGCTTATACAACATATACATAAAATGATCTCAATTCATGTACATACCTATTAGGTTACTATGTAAGGTGTTGGCAATTAATTGGATTTCTTCATCTGCCACCAAATTGAAATCATATTTCCACAACCAACTCCAAGGCTCATCATTGAGGATAAAATGAGAGAAAGCAGTTCTCTGCAGAAAGGAAATCGATATGCAAAGCAAAGTATTATAATTTATTTAGTAAAAGTTTTATTTTAGTAAGTTCCATCATTATTATGGAGTATGAGCCTAAAGTGTCAATGAAGTATCATGTTAAGTTACAAAGTTAGCCCCTGCTGCATAACACAACCCTTGAAAAGTTAATTAATTCTCTGACATTCAGCAATGTAGCTAAATTACTTTACCCAGTTGTTTGAGCACAATGTCTGTAATCTTCTGATTAAAATAGTAAGTGCCAACATCATCGGGAACAATTATTTACCCATCTACCACCCCAGCACCCACTGTCCTGGATAGTTCCTGCTCAGAATCTGAAGAGAGTATTCTCCTGGGAAATATAGAAATTTCTTATTACAACAGAATGAAAGCAAGGCAAGACTTACAAGTTTCAAGTTTTTAAAGTGCCTGAAAAAATACACATATTTTAAAAATCTTAAACTGCAAAACAATTGTAACAAGCCCATGTTCACGAATTCACTATCATTTTTCCTGTGATTTCAATTTAAGTTGATGCTGTTATCATGATTTATTCCTACCTCACAGGATAATGAATCTAGATTTTATTTCTGTTCTTTGCCAGGCTTGTACAGCAGGCAAAGTGTTTGAAAATCAAAGGAAAAGAAGATGTTGACTTGGAGAATCTTTTCAGAGGTAAAAACAAACTGCAGAATCTGTTTTTTGTTGTTGTTGTTGTTCCAAATGTCTTATCTGCTTGACTGTTTGGCTTTATTATTCTGATAGAGAAAGAAGGTGGAAGAAAAGAACCAAGAGTCTTGTGATCTGGTCCTAAACTTATAAATAGATTCTGTTACTTTACTGCCATGAATTTTCTTATTTTTAAAAGGAAAAAGACCAAATTGTCATCTCTGTGATCCTTATTCTGAGAGGACACATATGAAACTGTTGAAATCTGGCTATGTGTTCAAACATCTCTCTGCAGAAGCCACCAGAGGGAGAAGTCAGGGGTCTTTTTCTTTGATATACATCATCAGTAAGTTTGGCAAGAGATAAGAAATTTGAGTGTAGGGAAAAGAATCCCATATTTCCATTCAATTGTGTCTCTTCCCAGTGAATGTTCAATATGGATAGAATGCGGCACTAGGTCCTGTGGGTAGCAAGCTAACAAGTACGTTTTCCCTTGGCTGTCTTATTTTAGGGCCAATATTTTGCTCTGGCCAGATGAAAACATTGGTCATTTGTAACTAGTGTCCTACATCTTTAGCTGCAGTAGTTATGTAAGTTAGTATCTCTCAGAACATCATGACAGAGGAAAATTGGTGAGTTTTCTGCTGAGCTGGACAGAAGTGCAGTGAATAGTTCAGTTGGCTTGCATTGCTGATTAGCTCCAATACAATTACCTGCCCCACTTTTCTTAAGAGAAAAGTATTGAGCAGTCACTGGGCAAAAGGGTGTGAGGTGTATGAGCAAACTAAACTACTCATTTCAGTAGGCACAAAGCTCAGTATAGAGCTGGAAGATCTCTTGACTTTATCTCAATGACAAAGAGCAATGGGTTTTTCTCACCTATTGGAGGACAAGTTTCTTGGCTTTCGTTGTGCAGCTCCATGGTTCTCTCTCATCAGGAGAATTTCTATGTATTATAACCCGCTTGCTTTAAATAAACAACTGGTATTTTAGAAACTCCTCCATACAAATGTTCTCATCCATTTTAACGACGCCTTCATTCCATAAGCAGCATATTTTGGAACCACAGAAGAAGCCTTTAAAAAAATGTCAGTGTTTTAATTCATATTTTGACACTTTTGAAAATTTCTGCACTGAGTAATTATGTATATGTTCCTGTTAAAACAGATACACAATTTTGTAGTTCACATAGTAAAAGTAGTAATGAGGATCATCCTGACCAAAATAGAAAATATCTCTAGCAAAATGCATTTGCGTAATGTTGAAAGATGAAATTTCTAAACTTGTTCTTTTCAGCATTACTTGTGAAAAGTTTATACCCATATGCTATTATTGCTTCCTGCAATCTCTGTGCTAATTTAAATGTTTTGATTTTCCTAGCAGCCAAGGTCTAGGGGAACAGAACCAGAAGTGTTGTCTGGATGTGCTGGGAGCATATGAATGCTGTGGGTCTCAGATGCACCCCCGTGGAGTGCAGTCAAGAGTCAGCCCTGCTGCATGGGAATTTACAGCCTTTACTTACTCACACCTGTTTTCTAGCCTGACACCCAAAGTGCTGTGTCCCATATCAGACTGATGCCTGTTGTTATAATCAACCTCCTTTGCTCAAACAAAAAGAAAATTGACACTACATATGTTACCACAGTGACCTCACATGATTACATCATATTTCCCTTTCTTTTTCTCTGCCTTTATCTTTCAGTTTCCTTTTTGTATTTACGTCTGGGCATAAGTTGAAAAGTACGCCTTCTGCATTTATTTGGAGTCTTGGTTTTTGTTTTGTTTTGTTTTTAAGGAAAATGAGAGCCTAAAATGTATCCTCCCTGTTTCCTTTGAAACAATAGATTGCATCTGATGGATTCTTCCAGATTATATGCACAATACAAACATGTACACACAGATTAGGACTTTCTTACCTTGGGCATGTTTTCAGAATTTTTTCTAACCATGTCTATTTGGTTAATTCATATAATTAATTATTAATTAATTTTGGCAGTACTGGTGTTTGAACTCAGAGCCTCAAGCTTGCTAGGCTGAAGCTCTGCCACTTGAGCCACACCTCCAGCTCTATTTTTGCTGATTTTGAGATAGGGCCTTTTGTAAACTTTTCTATGAGGGCTGGCAACTGTTAGGTAAATCAAAGTAGGTAGGTTGAATTAGGTAGTGAACACTTTTCTATGAGGGCTAGCAACTGTTAGGTAAATTAAAGTAGGTAGGTTGAATTAGGTAGTGAACACCACCCAGTATTCAGGCAGGAAGAGTTTATTTATTCCAAACTGCCTTCCCTGTGGTCAACATGCATGGTAGAAACCACTTGGCCAAAGCAAGCTGGCCAAAGTGCCACCTGCATTTAGCTAGGGAAGGGCGGGAGAAGGATGACGTGGTGAAGGAAGGTGTGGCCACACTGGATTTGGATGTGACCTCAGGCCCTGGGACCCATGTCAGGTCTGATGGGAGGATGGTAGGCGTGACCAGGGGCAGCTCATGATGTGACCTTGGAGGAGGGGGAGGTGACTGCCCAGGTGAGCCAGTTACCTAGGTGACATGGGTATTAGCCAAGAGGAAGGAGGGCTCTTTTCCACCTTCCCTTCTGCTGACCTTACAGCATTCAAAGGCAATCCTCCCTGCCCGAGTATTTAGGATTACACATGTGAGCCACTGGTACTTAGCACCATGCCTATGTTCTGGAGCATTTTACTTGAAATAAATATGATAAATACAAGGAAGAATCCTTTAAAAATTACCTCCTGAGCTGGACAGAAGTTCAGTGAGTAGTTCAGTTGGCTTGCATTGCTGATTAGCCCCAATACAATTACCTGCACCACTTTTCTAAAGAGAAAAGGAACATTGAGTAGTCAGTGGACAAAAGGGTGTGAGTATGAGCAAACTAAACTACTCATTTCAGTATTCAAGTATAATTCTTGGTGGCTCTTAATGTTCTTCAAGATCCTTTTCTTTATAATATTTAAAGAGAGAACTTGGAAAACAGGTGCCAGTGGCTCATATTTATAATGCTAACTGCTCAGGAGGCTCTGATCTGAGGATCATGGTCAGCTAGTTCAGAGAAATGTGAGACTCTAATCTCCAGTTAATTAGCAAAATGCTGAAATTGAAGGTATGGCTGAAGTGGTAGTATTTGAAAGTCCTGAGTTCAAGTCATAAAACTGTGATTGAGTAAAAGTCTTAATTGCTTTCTAATGATATATTTGTTAAAGAAAGCATGATTAACTAAAAAAATCTTTGTTAGATAAAAGAAGTTTGCTTCCCTAATCTTTTTAAATTTAATTTAATTATAAAGATGGTGGACAGAGGGGTTACAGTTACATAAGTAAGGTAATGAGTACATTTCTTCTTGAACATTGTTATCCTCTCTCTCATTTCATTTTTCTCCTACTTTCCCTGCCCTGACTCCTCCACCCAAGTTGTAAAGTTCATTTCCAATATAGTGTCTTATGAGTATTCTTGTTGCATTGGTTCACCCTTGTGCTTTGTCTCTCCATTTTGTTATATCCCTTCCCTTTCCCAAATCAGATAAACCCTGTGTCTTGGTTCTCAAATCTTAACTTTGAGCGTAAACTTATAGAGAACTGAGGTATGAAAAGAAGCAGTCATTATCCTTTGTGGCTTTGTTATGTAAAATATCACAAGAACATGGAGACTAGGATCCCACACTGCTTGTATTCTCCAGGATGAGGTTGAGCAGCTTCTGCCCTCCTGAGCTTTTGCCTTTTGCTCAAAGAATGTTTCCAGAAAACTGGACAAAAGCTGCTCCTTTGCTACAAGCGGAGTGAGGGACCTACTCATCTAAGCCCTGTTTCCTGCTCTATCCTGAGCCCCAGAACTCAAATGGTGGTGCTGTCGGCCCCACTGCCATTCTGGAGCATCTCTATGGGAATGTGGAAATGTTAGCTAACTGGGTGTTTCATTTTGAATATTTGTTATTTTTTTATCTCAAATAGGTAACAATGCTCATTTTTCAATCTAAAGATCTTCTAAATTAAAACTATTGAAAGAGAAAAATATTGGGGCTGGGAAGGGAGCTCAGTGGTAGAGTGCTTGCCTTGCATGCATGAGGCCCTGGGTTTGATTCCTCAGCACCACATAAACAGAAAAAGCCAGAAGTGGCACTGTGGCTCAAGTGGTAGAGCACTAGCCTTCAACTGAAGAGCTGAGGGACAGCACCTAGGCCCAGAGTACAGGCCCGACAAAAAAAAAAGAGATGAATATTGTTAATAAATCCTTTGTAAGCTCCACTTTAAAGGCCACTAATGAATCATGTGTGGGTGTATTGGATAGTTGTCTCAGTGCTGGAACAGAATGTCGCACATAACACAGTTTCAGTCCATGATTGCTTGGTTCCAGGCCTTCAAAAGCCTGCCCTCAATGAGCTACTTCTACTTAACTAGGTCCACCAGCAAAGTTCCCAGCAACCCCCAAATCATGACAATAGCCAGTGACCAAGAATTCAGCATAGGAGACATGGGAGGGATATCATAACTTCATGACTATGAACCTATTTCTCTTGTCATTCTGTAGAGCATTGGTCTACTAAAACTACAGCATTGTAACTGCAAGTGGATTCCTTACTCTAGTCTTAGAGGTTAATAATCATGAGGCAGTGTAACAAATGCTTCTACCATAAAATATTTACATAATGAAATGCTCTTTCATGAATACTTCAGTTATTTTGTTTAAAACAAAGATACAATAAATACAGGTGCAATTGTATGTGCTCATTTCTATAGAAATAGTATCTAAGTAAAGTTGTTAGGTTAACAATGTGTACTTTTTATATCCATGTATGAGGGTACATGCCTATCATCCCAGCACACTGGAGGCTGAGGCAGGAAAATTCTGAGATTAAGACTAGTCTGGACTATGTAGTGAAATCTTGTCTTACCCACTTCTCCCAAAAAGTATGAACTGTAAAAATTATAAGTATTATTGACAATGTGCCTAAAATATCTCTAACTCATTGCGTTCCTAGCAATGTTGTGAGAGTGATT